ATAATAATAATAATAATAATAATAGCAGCTTTTCAAAGCAAGGTGCAAAAAAGCATATATATCTCTATATATATAGATATATGCAATTAGAAGAAAATTTATTTAGGAATATATCAAAATAAGAAACACTCCAAACAGAGAATGAAGCTGTACTGTAGTCCTACATAGGACACACTGGAGGTACAATGCTGCTGCCTTGGCCATCTGAGCACCATTCCCTGTCTACTTTGTTTTTCAGAACCAGAGAGAAGGACAAACCATAGTAACTTTCCAACTTCTGTGGGAGAATTAAAGTGTGGCAGTTGCGCTAAGGCCCTGATTCCCAGCTGTGATCAACCTGAAAATCACATTATTTATCTGAGGTAAATCTCAGCATTCTACATTGGACCAGACTTCAAAACAGTCCTTCTTATCTGAGCACAGCTGTCACCAAAATAAACAACCTACGAGGGAAGCAGCAAATTCAAAGTGCTTTGTATATAGGGAAAGCACAAGCAAACTGTATTTCACAGAGAGAGAAAGAGAGCTTTAAAACAAGCTAATAAAAATTTCTCTGTGTTTACAGTTGGTCACAACACACAGCAAAACATCATGAACTCGGCAGAATTCATGTGTTGGACTTGTGATAAGCGGCCATGAAATTTCTCCTTGTAGGACACAGGGCAGGTTCTTGTTACTGAAAAGATGACTATGTTTTTTGGATAAGGGACTGCACATACAGCTCTTTTTCTAAGGTCTGAGATTTAGCTCTGGGTAGAGGCTCTGTGTCACCCATGTAATCCTGAGCTGGGAGAGGATGGCACCCGTTGGTGTAGCCAGGAGGGTACGTCTGTGAGAGATGTTGATGCTGCCAGCAGCCTGGTAAGATAAGCAGGCTCCTTCTCAGCTCAGGTGGCATGAGGCTTTCTTGCAACTTACTTTCTTCTGTTCCAGGAAACATCTGCAGGGAACCCTTACCTCATATTTTCCTTTCTTCTCCAAGGGTTCCAATTCAGTTTCCTCAGGTACCGTAACTTTGTCCCCTAGAAGCTCCTCTAAGATGAAGACGGTTTCCCAGTTGCTATAGTGACGTGCTGGGAAAATATCTGAGTGCATGCTGTCACCGAAGTAAACGACCTAAGAGGGAAACAGCAAATTAAAAATTTGTTGTATATGAGGAAAACACAAACTGTATTTCACAGAGAGAGAAAAAGAGTTTAAAAACAACCTAAAAAAAATTCCTGCATGTTTACAGTTGGCCATGACACACAGAGATCTTGTTAATGTCACAGTTTGGGGTTTTATCTTCAACCAGCTTCATATTTAATCCATTTCCTCAGGGAGATTGTTTATTTCCTGATTACAGTCAGATTCTCCCCAAAGCTGCTGAAATGCGTGACCATGCATGCAGAATAAAATATGTAGGAAGTTTATGTATTCTACTGATAAGAAGACTAATATGCTACTTCCAGTTCTGGATGGCATACAACAGCAAGCATAACCAGAACAAAAATTTGTGACCAATCACATCGATAACTTTAATGAAAGCTTGTCTGGTGAATTTTAAACTGAAACAGGGTATTTTCAGAAAGATTTACTCTCACTTAAATCATACAAACATACCTTGGGATCCAACTTGCCAGTCATCTTCTTTAGTAGCTCATAAAGCTGGATAGCATTACCTTGGGAATACCAGCCAGGCTTGTCCAGTGACAGCAGAGCCTCCTGTTCCTCGTCATTCTCTGAAATCACCAAGCAAAATTGCCCGCTGTTAGTGAGAGCAGCCCATGCTCCTGTATTTGTGAGATGCCCGAGGAGTTGCCTGTGCACAGCTTGGAGCACATGGTCTCTTTTGACATTAAACCAGCTCCAGTGTCTGGCTCAAGTCCTGGTACTGATTGTGGGTTCAGTCAAGGTGTTCAGCAGCTGGGAGAAGACAGACATTTGTGAGAAAAGAAGCAGCTGAGCCTCATCTGCAAGGGCTACAGAAGAGCTGAGGAAACAAAGTCATAGGCTTTGCCCCCCAAACACTGTGGCAGTGAAGGCAGGAAACCACAGGGACCAGACTGATGGAGAAGCTGCTATAGATCTAACGTGGAACCATGAGATAGGACAGACTGCAAGAGACACACAGACTGTACCTTTCCCCACAGACAAATTACCTACTGCTTTTAAACGCTGACATAAATACAACAAAACAAACTGAGGTAGCTCTTGTGGGCACTCGCCAGCCTTAGATCAGCACAAGCAATGAGCAGTTCCAGTTAGCATCCAGTTTTGAAGAAATGATGAATGGACAATACTGCTGCTGGTGGGTGATCCACATTGGCATATATCCACTCTGGAAGCTGTCAGTGAACCAGAAAAATCAGAAGCTGAAAATCCCTGGTTATCACCTAACTGTGCCCTAGGCTTCATTTCTAGCTGGTCCCATAGCATCTGGATCTGTCCTGGTGTTCATATAACCTTATTGCTTGGTCAGAACCATGTATTGTTGCCACACAAACTCCTTTTAGCTTTTTGCTGGAGCCAAAATACTAGCCTGAGTGAAATTATAAACTAGAATTTAATCAGAAATATTAATATTAATGTCTTCTGTCTATTGAAGTGGTTAAACAAAAGGGCGATTTTGTTATTCAGTCTCAATCAAATATGTCTTGTTTTTCATGCTAGAGAGTTAGAAGCCAATGCAGTACTTTGATCTGACTTAAGCAAAACATTAGGATTTCAATTTTTCTCCTGTTTTATAGAATTTCTTGAAGTACTTAAAATGTGTTAGGAGGAAAACTGAGACAGAGAGAGCAAACTTCACTTGGTTAGAGACTGCTAAAAGCTGAAATGCAAATTTTGGAAGAAGAAATAACAAGACAGTTTTATGTTTAGGAGCAAACAAGAAGTACATGGTGCAGTGCATTGGTCCTTGAAGGAAAAAAAAAAAAAACAACAAGTAAAAAGAGGGAAATAGGTATGTTAGGAGAGGCAGTAAATCATTCTTTAATATTACGAATCATTGAATTTGAATAAACACAGGATTTATTCTCAGACAAAACAATTCTATATTAAGGCTGTGTTATAAACTAGGAAAAAACAAGGAAATTCAAAGTTGACACTAACAAATAATGTAGAACTTGTGTGGAAATGTCTTTTCCTTTGTTCTTCTTCAGAAACCTAATGATGATGATGATGATGGTGATGATGATAATAATAATGATATAATCCACAAAAACCCCTTGATTTCCTGACTTTTAAAATAGTTTTGCCCAAACAATGTTGATCAAACAGAAGTTGTCAAACTTCAGCAAATTTGTTTTATTTTCCCTGTATTCTTAGACATATTTGTAAGGCTGGCTAAACAAGCAGACACATTCTTTAAATGATAAGGACACAGAAAAAGAAACTTATGAAAACAACTCTTTTGAGCTGCTATTAAGTTTATTGAACTTTGTGAAGGTTCGTATAGCTATCATTGTCCCTCCATTCCGTCCAACAGGAAAATACTAGAGAAAAATGGAACTATTATGAGAGGGATTTTCAGAATAACAACATTGCATTTGCAAATAGGAGCCCTATGTATTACAGTAGCACCAGAAGGTTCCATCAAAGAGCAAGACCCTGCTTTCCTGCTTCTATGGAAAGGCATAAGGGGAATTCCTGACTGAAAAAAAATCATGCTAATTACAAGGTAGGAGATCTCTTGCTCTGTGAGATCTATTGCTGTCACTCCTAGCAGTGGGATTCATCTCACTTAACTCAATGCATCTGGAATTTAGGCTTCTAACTTACAGTTACAATCTGAACTAGCTGACCAGGCTCCCTCGGCAGGCAAAAGAGAGTGCAAGAAGCACTTGTTAGAGGTGCCAGCTCTGGAGAAGGAAAAGATTTAATTAAATTAGGAACTTTGCTTTTAGGTAATAAAATGAAGGGAAATTTCAAAGCCTGGTTTCCTCTATACTTGGAGGCAGCAAACAGCATTGGGATGTCAAATTCATTATGGGAACACCTTGATTTTGGAAGGAGCTTCAGAAATTTGAGGAATTAGGAAAGGTCCTTTATAATACTTGAGTTGTAGTGTTATAGGGATAATGAATCTGAACTGGCAAACCTTCCCTTGAACCATCTCATATGGCTACTTTTGCTTATATGTCTAGGGGTGTCAATTTTATTTCTGTAATCTGAAGTGGGAGGAAATTAATGATGTTTCAGATGCAGTAAGTTATTAACGAGAAGGGTTCTAATCCACTTACGCTTTCCCTGTGGCAAAATATAGTCAAGAAAATTATTCTTCAGCACTGGTTCTTAAGGCCTTTTGTAGTAGTTCTACCATGTAAAAATTGTTAGACAACAACTTAAAAATCCATTAATGACACTATTGGTTCTGGCCTTGTATCCTTCAGATAGCAGTTACATGATAGTGCTGAAGAAATCTGCAAATTTCCTGCAAAAATGCTGCATAAATATGACAATGATAGTTCCTGATATATTTTAGATATTCCAAGCCTGACATTGGCTACACTCAGGCAAGAGGAAAACTGCTGCTGACCTTCCTTCCACTTTGATGTTATTGATTCGTAAAAGTTCATTCAAAGGTCAGAAATGCTATAAATATTCCTTCAGTGGAAAGCAACATATATACAGGCGGGGATGCTAATGCTTCAGGTCTTATAAGCTGGGAGGAAAAGGAGATGTCCTGACAATTTCAAACAGACTGTATAACCAGAAAGAATTTCTGAGATGATTTAGATAGAGCAACTTGCTTCCTTTTGAAGTCTAATATATCACTGCAATCCAGATTCCTGGCTGTAGACTGAAAACATGCCATGACAAGAAATGGAAAGGTAAGAAGCAAGTAAAATTAAAATAATTAAAGCCAGAAAAGCATTCTATTAAAACACTCACCGAAACTTCAACAGTGATTCACAGCAATTTTCCTGAGGGGAAGTTACTGTTCCTTTTTAAAAACAACTACAAAATCTTGACTCATGCTGGGGCAATATTAATATCACTGGAATGGCAATTTTGCATATTGCTGTGTCTAACAGCTTGGGAAATATTTTCTGATTCAGAGATGTACTCCCATTACCATTAGCAGATACGATTTTTCAAATAAACCAATTCACTAACAAGACTCTTCTTGTGAGAATTTTCTTGCCTGCCTTTAAATGTGTGTTGCAGGTTTATAACATGGACTGAGGAACATCTGGTTTCATTCTGAATGAATATGCAAAAAGTAATCAGTGAAGCTTATTGCTATTTAAATGACAACTGATGGTAATTTACTTTGACACGGAATTGCTCCTTAGGAAAGACTCTGCACACGCTTGCTTACTGTCATCTGTTTTGCTATCCCTTTATGGGTTATACTCACCCAGATGAAAACCTGAACACATGTGCTTCTGAGGTTGTGTCCACATTGCACGTTCAGCCCAGGGTTTGAACCTGGAGCTCTGTCCCTAACCTGGCTGGTGTTTACACTGTTAAACTCCAGCCCAGGGGACAAGGCTCTCATATGAAGCCCGAGGTTAAGAGAGAAGGTATGAGTTGAGTGTGAATTTACACTCTGACAGTTATTCCCCTGTACTCAGCCACACCTACGCTGAAGTTAATTTTCGGCAGCTCACCATCCCTGAGGCCACCACCTTGCACTGCTGCTCCTCCTCTGGTTGGGTGCCCTGTGGGCGATCATGGGCCACGTGTCCCAGTGCGGACCTTTGAGTGACTGAGGACCTGTGAGTGACTTACCTGAGAGCCTGTGGACACCTCACACCTACTTGACTGGGGGCAGGAAAGTGACTCCAAGTGCCTGGAGGCCATGGCAGCCAAAGGTGCGTGAAGTGTAACTGAGGTGTGTGTACAGCTCTTCAGCAGTCCCTTCTGCCTGCTTGGCTATCTCCTGACAGCCTATTAATCATTTCCATACAAATCTACTTAGACCCACAAGTAGCTATTAGGGTTACTGATATTTTTTGTTCCTTTGAACTGTGCGACAGAATCACAGAATCACAGAATGGTAGGGGTTGGGAGGGACCTCAGGAGATCATCTAGTCCAACCCCCCTGCTAAAGAAGGTTCCCTACAACGGTGTTGTAGGAAAGAGTTCAGGTGGGTTTTGAACATCTCCAGAGATGGAGAATCCACAGTCTCCCTGGGCAGCTTATTCCAGTGCTCTGACATCCTTAAAGAAGTTTTTCCTTAAGTTTGTATGGAAGAATAAAATAATATTGTGGAATAAAAACATGCAGTCACTCTGTTGCTGTTCGTGCCTGTACTTGCTCCTGCTCTTCCTACCCATGGGCAGCTCTTGCAAGCTCTCACTGTGTGTAGGTGCTTAGCACAGATGAGCATATATGTCTAACACACTGACGTCCTGGTTACTGCCTCGGGGGGTTATTGTAAAACAAGTACATTTTATGATCTGCAACTATCATATTGATACGGCTCTCTGCAATTTAAAATAATGTCATTTCAGGCCCTAAGGGCATTAAAATAAAAGCTGGGTTATGTTGCAGCCTGACTTGCAAGTCTGATTCTGGATGGCATTTCGAGCTTACTTAAGAAACACAAACTCTTTTTCAGAAGGGTACTCAAGGCAGGAAAGTGCATCTCTTTGCAGTAGGGACAAAGGGACCTGCATAAGCAAAATCTTTCTGGTGGGTTCTTCCAGTTGTAAAGGTAATGCAATGGGATGACATAAGCTGTGGAGTTCCCCTGTGGGCATGCTCTCCATGAAGAAAGCAATACTTACA